TTGGTGGCTGTTTAGTGGCATCTCTTACTCCTTCCCATTCTTCTGCAGGCTGAGGTGGAGCCAGTCTCAAGGAAGGGCCAAGGGGTGGCTTGGCAAATGGGACACCCAGGTAGGCATGGACGCCAGTCTCCTTCCCTTTCACACTCACATACTCACCTTTCAGGCTCCCGAGCCCCGTGTGGACTACAGGTGCTGTCAGGATATTAGAAATGACTGAAAATCTTAACCTAAAACTTTATATTTAAAAAGAATTGTTGATCGAGCTACAGCTACAGAGACATGCCTGTTATAATGCACATTTACTGTCATGGCAGTGTTTGGTTTTTTTTGGTTTAACATTACTTGTTTATTATTGTTCTTGGTTTTGGTTATCCTTTTTCTCAAGCTCTCAGTAATTTTAGTTCTCCCTCCATCAGTTTTCATCTTAACCTGTGTTTAGTTTCTGTTCCCGTGTCCCATGTTCCCTGTCTCTTCCCAGTCAGCTGTGCCACCTTGTCAAGTCTGTGTCTTCTTGCCTGTCTTGTGTTTCCTGTTTTACTTTAATAGTCTCATTGTTTTGAGCTTTGCTTGCCCTTTGTCTCATTATATCTGATTAGTTCCAGATGTGTGTCCCTCCTGTTTCCCATTCACTCGTTACTCCCTTGTGTATTTTAACCCTGTGTTTTCCTCTGTCCGTTGTCGCGTTGTACACCCTCTTTGCTTTTTGTTACCTCAGTGCGCCTAGGAAATTCCTAGTTTTCTTATTTCTTGTTTTCAATTGGCTTTTCTGTAAACCTGTAGAATTATTTCCTAAGGGCTCAAATTGTGGTCATAAATATTTTGTATTTTTAAATCAGATGCATAGTTGTGAACTGAGTTTTGTAACCTTGTAAACAAAAATATCTGAAATTTTTATGTTTTTGCATCTATACATGAGAATTTGTGTGTATGTAAAAAAGATTTACACAAGTTACAAATTTTTTATGTTAAGGTCTGGTTACAGATACAAAGCCATAAGCTATGTGTAGAACTCTGTGCTCAAGTTCTTTGGCTGTGTGAGTTTCAACTTACTAGTTTGAATTTTGACTTTATTTTTCTTTCTTTCAGCTGATTGGTCAATGTCATGTCAATCACAAATTTAACATTCCAATCAGAGAACAGATTGTGTTTGAAGGGGTGCTTTACTGAGCTTCAGGTCCTGGAAGGGAAGCTGGAGGATCTCTATATGAATATCCCATAAGGTTCATACAAGCTAGGTCTCTTAACTTTCAATAACTGTTGAAAGGATAATTTTGTGCTATACCAGAAATATCTGGTATAGCACCAGATATTTTACTTTAGTATGACTTTAACACAAAGTCAGGGCTGACCAGGGACCATTGCTGTGAGTCACACTGAGCAGAATAAAGACCCTTTCACAACGGAGGCACTCATGGCTAACTAAAGCTGGGCACACACTGTACAATTTCTGGCCCATTTTGAGCCGTTTTTCAGTCGTGCGACCGTTTTGGGGATGGGCCTGAATTTCGCCTTAATCGTGTGTTGTGTAGTATACATTTGGTAACGAGAAGCGACTAACACCTCACAACCAGGTCCCGATCATCAATGGTCACAAGAAAATCAAACCTGTTCGAAATCCTGTCGCCCCTCGTGAGGGTGTCAACGCAGCCTCTCACACTGCACACGCACAAACAGAAACGAAAGTGGAAAGACGTAGTAGCACGACAGTGCAGCGTGTGATCTGGACACGGGCGATAGAGGCACAACTTGAAAAACTTTGGCAAGCTCATCTGAGCATTTCAATATGGCCTCACAAAATTATCACGACCACAACAACTGTGAAAAGAGTTGGATGGACATTGCTGCTCAATTGCAGCCTGGTCGATGTTTTTCATTAGTAATTTAGCAAAGTTGATGGTGGTGGTGTACATGTACAAACCCCGAAGCACGTAAAAACTCCATAACACGTAAAAACTCCATAGCACGTACAATCTCCGAAGCACATACAAACACAACAGAAGTGCTCCAGGATGCTAGGCGCAGTGTTGAGCTTTTGTTACCTACTGGCTACACAAGTCAGGAAGTACCGACGACCGGATTTGGTGTGTGGTAGTAACAGGTAAATGAAATTTACTTTTCAATTATTTGAATATATATGAGTGCCTGTGTATAAATACACAAACAATACACATATGCTTTCAATTGTGTAATTTTAGTGATCTAGTAGCTCTGTTTTGGAAGTTCAGTTAACGCTAGAAATGCATTTTGGAGTTTGTACGTGCTTTGTCTCTAGGGGCCACCGTATATATTTATTTATAAACATATATAAATAAAACCGCGTTTTGTTTTTTTTACATTAGTAATTCATTCTGTGCATAATTTTATATTGTTGTTAATAACAAATTAATTTAAGCAACAAAACAATCTGAAGATCCGGTTGGGAGTCGAAAGACCCGGCTCTTTTTAGTGAGCCGAGCCGAAAGAGCCGGTTCTCTAAAAAGAGCTGGAAATCCCATCACTAGAACCTGCTTGTCTTTTCAAAACATGTTTCTCTCTGACATTATAACCTCTACAAGAGTTTGTGTTGTATTATCTTCAAATGTTCAATAAAAACATGAATCGCTCATTCATAAAAAAGAAAGCTTTGTAACTATCCCAACTAGTGAAGAGTGTGTCATTTCCACAACACTACTCCCCCCCCCCCCCCAAGGTCCACTGGGTATTTGAAAATTTGAAAAGGCTCTGAAGCTCCCCGTATTAGCATGAAGACCTGTGACAAAAAATTCACCAAACTCAGACACGCATAGCATGTTTTCCTTCGTGGTGCGAAGACCTGGAGGTCAGTAAAGCACCCCTCCACAGCCAAACCCATCTGTTCTCTGATTGGATTGTTAAGTTTGTGATTGACACAACATTGACCAATCAGCTGAAAGGAAGAAAAAATTGGGTCAAAATTCGTACTTCTAATTTGAAAGTCACACACAAGCACGGTACATGAGCTCAGAGTTTTTTGCTTTGTATCTGTAACCAGACCTTAACCAAAAAAAATGTAACTTGTGTAAATCTTCTTTTACACACACACAAATTCTAATCTATAGATGCACAAACATAAAAATTTCAGATATTTTTGTTTACAAGGTTACAAAACTCAGTTCATAACTACGCATTTCATTTACAAGTACAAAATATTTATGACCACAATTTGAGCCCATATATTTCCAGGAATAAAGCTGCCGTTTTCGGTTAACATCCCGTGTTTGAGTGCCTTGTTTAGGTCCAACATCCTGCCACACAGGTGCAGTGTTGGGAAGGTTACTTTTAAAATGTATTCCGTTACAGAATACATGCCCCAAAATGTATTCTGTAACTTATTCCGTTACGTTACTCAATGAGAGTAACGTATTCTGAATACTTTGGATTACTTAATATATTATCGTGCTTTTTACAACAACGTGAATGTACTATTGCTGTGTGATTTATTACTATTACTGAAGGTCCGCGACTCCGAACTGTAGTAAAGGGACCTCTGACTAATACGGCGGGGTCCCTGTCGGCTCATAGCCGAAAAATAGCTTTACTTTGTTGTGTGGGTCAATTTTTCTTGCGAGAGACAGAGAGAGGCGTTGAAAGACTGCTCCAACGGAACTTATTGTTTTCGGAGGAAAACACGAACACGGTGTACAGTCGAGTCTTAATAGCTTACTTACAACTGGGCTCGTCAGGCACTCTTCTTGGCTGCAGTGGTTATTATTATATTTACATGCTTCCAGCTCCCGTTTTTCCTCGACGGCAACTCGTACCTTTCCACTCGCCTTTTTCTCCCTCCTCGCGCTCACAGACACATAACGTGTATGGCAGTGCATTCTCCCTGCAACACGGACTATACTGCCCATGATGCTACATTCTTTAGAGCTATGCTTGTAGCATTCTGCCTGTTAGCTTAGCACAACAACGAAAAGGCGCTCTCTCACCCAGGAAACACACAGTCGCAGAGAGAGAGAGAGCGTCGCCCTGTAACCATGGCAACCGTAACGCTGCCGCCTGGAACGAAAGAACGTAGCTGTCAAACAAAACCCAAACAGTCCTGACCCGCGACAAAATGAAACAGGAAAGTACCGCAGTGTAATCCATTTATTTCAACAAAGTAACTGTATTCTGAATACCACCTTTTTAAACGGTAACTGTAACGGAATACAGTTACTCATATTTTGTATTCTAAATACGTAACGGCGGTACATGTATTCCGTTACTCCCCAACACTGCACAGGTGTACATTGCCATTTACACTACACGAGCATTTTTATTATGATTATTTTGTTTGTTGGTATAAGTGGTTTAAATAATCTGACCAAGTGTGATACTTCATCCACCCATCCATCCATCCATTCGCTTCCGCTTATCCTTTTCAGGGTCGCGGGGGGCGCTGGAGCCTATCCCAGCTGTCATAGGGCGAGAGGCAGGGTACGCCCTGGACAGGTCGCCAGTCTGTCGCAGGGCTGTGATACTTCATCATTTTTTTTATTTTTATTTTTTTTTAAAAAAGCTACTGGCTCACATGGCTCTGTATTTTTTTTTTTGCCATAAACTTCCTTTGTTGTGTATTGTGATCCTGAAAAAGAAGCAGAGTTGACCATGAAATCTGTTTCTGTTTATTCACCGTCGCTGCAATACTCAATTTATTCCTTATCAGCATGAAGTCAGCAGAAAGATTTTTTTAAAAACAGCCTTTTTTGCAAAATGAAAATAATAACAATAATTAAAATTTGCACGGTCCAGTCTTTTAAAACCGTCGTCTCACATGCTTGGTTATTATGGAACTCCAAAGTGTTCAAAATTAAATAAATAAATAGGTCAAGATGAAATAAATAACTATGTGAATAAATAAGACACAGATATGTAATGTGAGAATGATATTGTGAAATAATGGAACACATTTTGAAAACAATGCTCATTATTGTGAAACATATTACATTCTGCTATATAAATTTTCTTATTATTGTGAAATATTATTTCATGGTCATTATTTTTCACAATAACAGAGATTATTCCTGAGGCATTTTATTTATTTCCAGCCGTTTTTAGTCCAAAATGACCTTTTTTCAAAGTCAGTCTTTATTTCAAAATCCCGTTTTTCCCGATGGTCTATTTATTTCATAATGCGACTTTTCAGCAGAATGACTTTGTCTGTCAATCAAGAAAGACAGGGCGGAGCCAGTTGTGTGATTGGTTGCTCCTTTACTCAGACATATGGTGCAATGCATCTCCTATGCAGCTGGCGGCAGTATGCAGCTCAAAATAAACTTAAGGCACCGACAAATGCAAAACACTGGGCGCGAATAACGTTACAGGTGTATCAATTCTTGTGAAGGGCATGGCTGCAGGAAACAAGTCCGTTTCTGAGTTACTCAGAGAACTTGCTAACCGCTTAGATTGAACGTCTTCACCTCAGTCTGCGTATTGCAGCAGTGTACTGGAGATGAAGTGGTCCCTGGTCCAAGTTCTCATCACAACCGCACAGTGTTAACGTTAGCAAATGCTAACGCTATCACAGCTAGCTCCACGAAACGCTGTTCAGGGTAAGTAACGATATGTTATTATTGCTTGGTTAGTCTGTCTGTCTGGCAAAAATGAGCTTTTTAATCAGTTTAGTCACAGATTTTTTTTAATACTGTTTTTTATCATAGCAAAGAATTCTATAAATTAGGTAAGAGAAAATAATTGTCTTCTGGGTTAATGTCTGTATTACTATTTACATTGTTGTAGGTAATAGTTATTCATGACTGTTTTAAAGTGGCTTATCTTCTGTGCTAATATGGAAGACAAGTAATCTATGTGAAAGAAAAGAAAGCAATTTTAGTTCAACGTAGTGATTTTGTAAGTGGGTATAATTTGAAAATGCTTTTACTAGTACAGTGGATGTTCTTTAAATATTTAACATTTAAAGTGTGTGTCACTTTACAGACTCCAACTTCAGTTTTGGTTTGGTCTCACCGTTGTAGGTCATAACACAAACAAGTCGTCAAGTCAAGCAGCTGAGGAAAGGGCTTAAGGAAACCATGGTATGGCCGCTTCTGACAGAAAGATCAGACATCATTCCTCCTTTCTTACCAAGGGAATCAGAGACTGCTCCCTGTTGTGAGGTAAGGTCAGGTCACATCTTTTAACATCTGAATAGTAAAGCTATTTGGTTAATTTATGAAGGATGAACATTAATTGTTGACACAAAACACCAATATACTGTTTTGTATGCGTGGGTTAGTTGAACAGCTGGGTTACATTTAATAAAAATACACCTAATGTTGCTGATGCTCTTAAGACTACAAGATAAGTAAAGCTATAAAATGACTGTGGCCTGCCACAGAAGATGAAGATGAGGAAGAAGAGGAATGCTCTCGAGGATAAATGCAGAGTGGCAGGTTACCTTCGGTCCTTCATTGAAAATGGTAAGTCTGCTGCGATAGGTATTTTGCCATTGGTTTTCTCTGATTACACTTTGGTAAATTACATACAGTCCAGTGATCTTGGGTCATTAACAAAGTACACTATAGTAGAGCTGGGCGATATGAGATTTTTTCATATCACGATATTTATTTTTATTTATTTTTTTATAAAAAGGACAAGAGCGGTGAGGTCTATCGCAATAGTTTAATTTTTCTATTGAGAAAAAGTTATTTCGCAATACATATCGTTATCGTTCTATCGCCCAGCTCTACGCTATAGTATAATTTTGTTTTGTTATTTGCTCCATGCAATACATAAGAGTGGTGGCATTATCAGTTGCACTAGAATTGTATGTAGACTACTTTTAGCTTTGTTAACATAAAAATATCTATAAAAGCTACAACAGCAATTTGAGTGGGGCAAAAATGTCTGGTGCCCTGTATGTAAGTGGTCATCTTTTATGGTATTTCTCCATAAAAGATTCAAAATAATGAATATAGGATGTCATTATAGTTTAAAACAATCTTCTGTTGCAGCATCTTGTGCACAACAAAAAGCCCTCATCAAGTTTTGGACAGGATGGGAAGTCTTGCCGAGAAATGACTGTGGAAGTGGTCAACAGCAATCTTCCAAAGTCTTCCACCGGTTTTGAAGTACTACGTCTTCCTGCACACTACTGTACCTATGAGTCATTTCTAATGGACATTCAGGTGTGTCTCAACTCTACTGACTCAGGTTTTGGTCTGGTTTACGATTGATTCCATAACCACATGGTAAAATTAGACCATTTCTTCTTTCTTGCATCACATTACTGTACTCGGTGTTCAAAGAAACGGACAATCTAGTGAGTTCTAGTTCTTTTTAATACACTTGACAGTGAAAAATACAGAGTACAGGTGTGCATTTATGGCTTTAATATAAACTGATGAAGAGTTCAGATATCAAAATCAGTTGTTCACTGTACATTATAAATTACACAATATGTTTTGTTTATACTCGCTACTGATACAAAAAATTTCTAGAAAAAATTATTTGAATTAAGATGTTACACTACTGTACTGTGTTCATTGTATTAAATCTGCTCAGAGTTGACATGTACTGTATATCCAACCAAGAAATGAATATCATTAAAGTGACAGCTGTATAAAACAAATCCTGTTTTATAGCCACTCACTGTTTTGTTGAAAATGAAATTGGTTATGCTGTTTTGAGTCAGTATTAGCTACAAAGCTGTAGAAATTTAAAAAAAAAAAAAAATCCTCCTGACATAGAAACTGATTAAATGTAATAATGTCTTTCTACAAGTGATTTTGAAGTATTGGTAGCACAGCAGGGTCTTGTTCATTCAGTGCATCTGGGAGCTGAATCTCAGGAATGGTGATCTCATTTGATGGGCAGCGATTATGTTGTCCTGTCCAGTCCACACCATAATCCTCATCAACCTGAAAGAGCATGCACATGTTTTAAATCTAAACTGAAGAGGTGTTTCCTGCAGCTGTTCCTAGATGGACTTATTGAGTCTGTCAGGGCCTATGTGAGTTGCTTAGGCATTGGCTACCAACTAATTATTCATTCACCCATTCTAGGTCAGGATTGGTTCTCTTCAGGTATAACAAATTTAACTTTGTTTAAAGTATTGCCATCTATACCTGACAGGTGGGATAAAAGAGAATGGCTTGGGAGGCGCACAGCAAATCTCAAAGTTTTCCAATTAATGCTGAAAGAACCAAGGATGTAAATGTATTCTTGTTTTAGCTTTACCGAAGACACCAGAGAAAGTATGATATCTATAATGCTGCTGAAATAGACAAAACCATTTCAATAAACTCGCTATTTAACATCAACCTTGTTATGCGTTATCAGAGAACAATCAACTGCAAACAGCAATGAAACATTCAACTATGTACTATTTAAAGCACTAATGACCCTGTTGTCTAACAAGATGTGATAAGTAAGTAGACTGTGGAAAGCTGGTGGGTCTACTCTCTGTGTAAAAGGTTCCTACAGGCTCCACTGACCCCAGTCTCCGAGTTAACACACTAACAGCTAACACTGCTAAACGTGTCTCAACGCCGAGATGGCGCCGATAGCTTTAGCCGTAGCTGCCCCACTTAGTTTAGACAGTAACAAAAAAAAGCAAGCGATAATAATTCATTGTCAAACGTCATAATTAAGGTCAACACCTAAACAATGCTGTGTACAGAATCACACAGGTGCTCAATTACAGCATAAACTTACCTTAGACCATCCTCCGTCATTTTCCTCCTAATTGTGCTCGGAGACACAGAAAATGTATCGGCAATTACCCCGACGATTATCCCGGACAGCACTAAAGTCCTGAGTGCTGCACCGGGATTTCTAGACGTGGACGGCCAACATTTGAAGACTGTTCTTCCTCGGCGTATTCCAAACGAACACGGTGCTGAATTGATCTTAAACCTTTGACAATGCTGTCATCGATGCGAACATCTTGAAGAGCAATTATCACCCCAAGCATTTCAGAAACATCTAAACGACTCAAAACAGTATCTACAGGTAAATGATCCCTCTCTATCTGATTTGCTTAAATGAGCAGAACTGGCTGAAGTTCACACCAGTCCGCCATCCTCCGTGACTTTTGACCTAGCACGCTGTTGCTAGCTGCAGTAGCCGTCCGCGGAGCCGGTATCCAGGAAAACTAGTCGATGGTAAACGATAAGCCAATAGGTGCAAAGGTCCAGCCCACTTACATTGATTGACAGACAAAGTCATTCTGCTGAAAAGTCGCATTATGAAATAAATAGACCATCGGGAAAAACGGGATTTTGAAATAAAGACTGACTTTGAAAAAAGGTCATTTTGGACTAAAAACGGCTGGAAATAAATAAAATGCCTCAGGAATAATCTCTGTTATTGTGAAAAATAATGACCATGAAATAATATTTCACAATAATAAGTAAATTTATATAGCAGAATGCAATATATTTCACAATAATGAACATTTTTTTCAAAATGTGTTCCATTATTTCACAATATCATTCTCACATTACATATCTGTGTCTTATTTATTCACATAGTTATTTATTTCATCTTGACCTATTTATTTATTTAATTTTGAACACTTTGGAGTTCCATTGGTTCTTTGCTATCGTTCACCTTTGAACAGAGTGAATAGCCTTTGCAGGTAAGAAGTCACCTGGACTTAGAACACAAAAGTTGATGTTTAATTATCAGCTTTTAAAATGACTATTACTGCCATAATACCGTTGATTACTGATTGATTAATATTGTCAGATTTAAACACTAGTTTTTCAAAAAGCAACTCGTGCAAAAAAAGGAAAAGAAAAACATGTACTACATGTAGGTTTAAGGAACACACGCATTACACAGAAATTAGGAGATGTCACAAAGACCATTTTGCTAAGAACTGTTTTATCCTACTTACCCTGAAGATCTGCAACAACAACAGCACAGAGGAATGAAGCGGATACCAAGAAGAAGAAATTGTGCTTTGCATGCAACTCCATGGTCAGCTCTGTGGATTGCGAAACTCCGCGGATTTTTCAAAGAGACAGAGGAAGTGCGTCCTCATATGAAGGTTTCTTCTTTTCTCTTTGACAAAGAGGAAAGGGTAGTGTCTCCAGCAAGATATGACGTCATTCAGTTTGACGCCAAACCATAACGGGACTAAAGTCCAATCTACAGTCTAAGCTTTAGATTCACTTCAGGACTCACTTCCAGAACACTTTCTGCTTCGGATGTCCCGCCTACTTCGCCGCTAATTCACAACTTTGTCTTGCAATCCTTTTTTTCGTCTGCCTGTCTGAAAAGCTCAAAATGTGAATTTGGTTACAAGTTTATTCATATGAGCGCATGCTTGTGTCACAGGCTCTTGAACTATGATACAGTAATTAATACAAATGCAGTTGTTTTTGCTTGCATTGCATTTCTCATGACCCACACAGACACAGAGGTGTTGACACAGTTGCTCGGGAGGACTTCTGAAGGTTGAATGCACACAAGAGAAAATGTAAGAAAAAAATATGAAAAAACGCATGTTGCATCTCAAAGGATATTTGAGGGAATGGAGTGGTAAGTTTTCAGGTAATACTGGCAAAGGTCACAGACAAACAAAGTGCTGCAATATTGGTTTGTCAAATCTTTTCATTTTATAAATGTTTTATCATTTTGCAAAACCTATTTTTACAGTGCCAGATTTAAAATACCCTGGTAACACGCAGGTGACTTGAGATTGGCAGTTATTGTTAATACTTTGATCCTACTGGACAGTCTATTCACAGTTTTGTGAAAATGTAAGAATGACATTTTTTTCTTTGAAAAACAAAATCAGGGATTCCATTAAAAGAAAATGCCAAAATATTCATTGTATATTAGAATATGGATAATCTTCACAAGACCTTTATATAAGGGAATTATGGTTTAGTGTAATTACTTTAAAATTGATGGAGCAGAGACCAGATGTGAGTTTTCTACAGCTCGTTGCGTTCTGCATTTTCCTCATGCTGTTTGATCTTCTCTGGGACGGTCTGAGTCAGGAAGACAAAGCGCTCCTTCTTCAGGTGCTGAGCAGTTACCTGCTTTTTTAAACCAATCGCCAGGTACTTTTCTTCTGCTCCATACTTCGGCCAGTGGACAAGGTTGTGCCCATCAGGAGATCTAAACACACATACATTTGTTATTCAGTTATTAAAAGTGTGAAATTTACAACATTTGGAAATTCCTACCCTGTGCGAGCAAAGTTCCCCCAGTAGCTCATCATGATCTTGCTCAACTGTTCTTCATCCTCAGGGCACGGATCTAAAACAATCATGTTGCAAAACACTTTTCAATCAACAAAACAAAATAGATTGAGCAGTAAGGCAGAGTTTTTATAAAGTCTTACCGGGTAACCTAACATGGGTAGTTGTGAAGCAAAATCCCAAAACTATAAAAATTTCATCTCCGTGGTCACTCCCAACAAAGCTCAGTCTTTTCTGCTGCAGGAATTTGGGAGGATGTTGGTACTCATACAGGTATACAGGAGCGCCTGCATCTAGAATTTGATGAATGTGTGTGATATTTGTTAATGAATGTATGTAACAGTAAATATCAAGTGTTGGGTTTTAGGCAGATTTGTATAATCTTTTATTAAACAAATTAAATTACCTCTGTGAGCATTAGCAGCTTTAATCGCTGGAATGGTGAAAAACAAATCTCCAAGCATCTCAGTGTACCCATCTCTGTTTTTCACACGGTCGTCACCATTTCCGATATATTCATCAGCTATCACATCTCTGAGAAATGCTGCTTCAGGCTTAAAGAAATAAGCAACACATCAATCAAAGAAGCTCGAGCAGGTCGGGGACAGTAATATTGTAACATCAAGTGGTGTCTGCCTTACGTCGGGGTAGAAGAAGGAAACCATGTTCAAAACAAATTCTCGATCTAGTCCTTCTGTCCAGTTTTGGGGAGCAAAAAACTAAGGAAATACCAAGCCAAATTACTTTTTTTTCAACATTACAAAACAACAACAAACTACATTGAGATCATGGAGCTTTTTATTTACATGTTCCTGTGACACTTACTGATGCAAGCATCCATCCACCTTCATCATTATTGACACCAGTCATGAATGGAACAGCATGGAGTTCATGTTTACGAAACAGCTCATCCACAGGTTTAGTCAGGAAATGTCCATCAACATTTACTTGAAATCTTAATGTTGGATCCTTGAGAAAATAAAATGTACTAAAGTGAAAGATGTGATAGCATGAACAGAGCTGAGGGAGAAATCAAAGGCTTCAAAGAAATATTGTAGAAGACATAATAATCATATTCAGCTATTTCTATCAGGTATTCACCCATTACCTCACCTGTGTAAAACCCACTATAGTATCAATATCAAGGTTTCTCATGCAGTCACTGATCTTCTTTGTGCTTTCAAGACTGCAGCCAGATGCATTTGCAACTGCCTGAGGTGAAATGTCAAATATAAATGTCAAATATTTAGGAAAAGAACTCAATTGCAATATACTCATTAATCTGCAACAGAAATGTTATTAAGCCTCCAAAAAGACCTTGGCAATTGGAAGAGGATTATTTGCAACAAGTACATTCATTGCAGCTGTGCCACTCTCAGCAATAGCACGGTGAAACAGCCCATCAGACAGTGGT